GAGCCGCTACTCTCTGATTGATAACAGACTATGGACTGGCCCAGGTGAATCGACCCCAGAAAGACAGGACATGGAGGACAGAGCCAGCCTCCCTGGCACACGGGGAACAAGCCCTTGCGCTTCACAGCTCTCAAGCAAGGGTCCACAGCTGCACTGGCTCCACCGCGATGCCTTCCTGTTCCATCCCACCTCCTTGGTGGTCTCATTCCACACCACCTTCGCCTTGAGTCCTGGGATCCCCTCACAGATGAACCCCGTGGGCCTAATCCTTGAATCAGAGTCCGCTTTGAGGGGCAGAACCACACACTCCCTCTCGCGCAAGCTCCTGATCGCAGTTGACTTCTGGGAGGGGCGTCTCACTCTTTTTTCTCCTCTACCAACTGCCTGGCCCTTGCCCCCCTCACACTTCACTTTCTTTAGCTTCTCTCCAACTATTTCTGTCCCATGATATCCTAACACATTCCGAGGACCCATCACCCATGGTTGGGCTGTAACCTACAAGGCCTAAGCCGGGGACCATTTTCTTTCCTTTTACTTCTTTTGAGACAGAGTCTCACTTTTTTTTTTCAGACAGAGCCTCAAGTTGTTGCCCTGGGTAAGTGCTGTGGCATCACAGCTCACAGCAACCTCCAACTCCTGGGCTAAAGCGATTCTTCTGCCTCCGCCTCCCAAGTAGCTGGGCCTACAGGAACCCGCCACAACATCCGGCTATTTTTTGGTTGTAGCCATCATTGTTGTTTGGTGGGCCTGGGCTGGATTCGAACCCGCCAGCTCAGGTGTATGTGGCTGGCGCCTTAGCCGCTTGAGCCACAGGCACCAAGCCAAGACAGTGTCTCACTTTATCACCCTTGGTAGAGCGCTGTGGAGTCATAGCTCACAGCAGCCTCAAACTCTTGGATTTAAGCAATTCCCTTGCTTCAATTCTCTTGCTTCAGCCTCCAGAGTAGCTGAGACTACAGGCATCCACCACAACACCCGGCTATGTTTAGAGACCAGGTTTCATTGTTGCTAAAGCTGGTCTCCAACCTATGAGCTGAGACAATCCAAGTGCCACGGCCTCCCAAATGCTGGGATTACAGGTCGGAGCCACTGCACCCTGCTATTCGGACCGGTCTCTGAGGGCCAACCCTGAGCAGTCTGATCCTTCCGGTCTGAAGGAGCGCTGCAGGGTAGGGAGTCCAGCCTGAATACTGGTCCTCCAAGATCTTCCAAGGGTGGTCCCACGGGACTCCACTGGCTTTTCCTGCAAGATGGGGTGCTGTGGGCAGGTACTTGTTCCTCCCGTCCGCAGGGGGAGCTGTGAGCGGAACGCCTTTGGCCCTGGGCCGCCGAGTCCCAGAATGCACCACGTTCTGGCCACACTAAGTTAGAGGGATATCCGTGCTCTATGGGAATCCGCGCAGGTTTGGGGGCAGTGCGCTACCGAGCCGGTTCCCGCGGATCCGCCATGGCTCAACCGGCTTCGGTAAGAGGGACTAGTGGAGGCTGCAGGCTCTGTCAAAGCTACTGGCTTGTCGCGGCTGGAGTTGCGTCCCGC